AAAAAAAAAAAAAAAAAAAACGTTGGGGGAAAATGGCTGAGTCATTTTTCGATGTGGGTGGCAGGTATGTGGCGGTGCATTTGATGATGATGATGACGTAAACCGTGGACACACATTGCCTTTTCTCTTCAGCTTGCATGTGTCACAATAATAATTATTATTTTAGTGACTGAGGAAGGTGACTACATGAATGGTCTTGAGCAAGACGGGGGAAAGATATGGAAGCCACTGGGAGATACCTGGGGACTCAGAAGGGCCTGGGGCTGGGACAAAGAGGACAGAGAGTGGGACCTTGATGCCAGAGGCTAGGGAGGAACTCCGGGAACCATGCCTGGGGACTAAACTGACCAGCTCTTCCGCCGGTGAGGCTGCTGAGGCCAAGAGGACAGTGACAGGTGGGAAATTTCCTCCCCAAGTGCCATGAGGCTTTCAAGGGGGTAGTGGGGAAAGAAGGGCACCCTGGAGGTTGTGTGTGTCCCAGAGTGACCGGGCTGTGAGTGGGCTGTCACCGAGCTCCCCAGCCTTAAATGGGACTGAAAAATGTTAGACTAGATGGGACTGAATATATCTCCTCAGGAGAAGTCATTTTCCTTGATAAGCGTCAGTCTCCTCTGACCTGTAAAATGGTGGTAAAATATTTTAAAACCTCCTAGGGCTGTTGGGGGCAAAGGGGATTGTAATGACTAATATTTTTGCACATCTGAGTCAAAGTGTGTTGACACAGATCCTGTGACACACTCACATGTACACACGCACAGAGGCCACACCCACTGCAGGTGCCCTGGTGTGTGTATACAGACACAGCACAGAGGCTGGAGGGATACGCAGCAGAGAGTCAACAGGGAGACCCTGGGGATAAGGATTATGGCTGATTTTTAACTGTTTTCTTACTTTCTGCTTATCCTGAATTTATTTTTATTTTTTACAATGGAACATGTTCTACTTTTAGAATCAGAAAGTAAACCAAAACCCAGACCCATCCACATGGCTGTGAACCACCCCCAAGCCACCGAGGGCAGCCCTGACGCATACCTTGCTTGATGACGGGGGGCTTGCGGGCGTCATCCACCACGAACGAGAACATCTCCTTGCTGGTGCTCACAGGCCGCTGGTGGGAGGCCGGCAGGACCACAGTGGGTCTGGGGAAGCCCTGGGACCAGCTCCTTTGCACCGGTGCCGGCTGGATGCCTTGGTGGAAGGGGATATGTGGCGGCGGGGGGGCCTGGTTCGGCTGCTGTGTGGCACGAGGTGGCTGTGGCCCTGGCCATGGTGCTGGGCCCCTCATCCATGGGTAGGAGACCTGCAGGGGCACACAAGGGTCAGGGGAGGTTATGACCGGCAGGGATGGTCTCCATTTCTTTGTCCCAGCCACAGCATTGCTGCCCAAGGTCTTGGTTTATGAGTCACTTCCGGTCACGCATGGTGGCACACAACTGTAATCCCAACACTTTTGGAGGCCAAAGTGGGAGGCTAGTGCTTGAGTTCAGGAGTTCAAGACCAGCCTGGGCAACATGGCAAAACCCTGCTTCAGCAAAAAATACAAAACTTAGCTGGGCCTTGTGGCTTACGCCTGTAGTCCCAGCTACTTGAGAGGCTGAAGTGGGAGGATCACCTGAGCCCGGGAAATAGAGACTGCAGTGAGCTGTGATAGCACCACTGCACTCCATGGTGGGCAATGGAATGAGACTCTGTCTCAAAAATAAACAAAAACACAATGAGTCACTTCCCCCAGGAAGCCTTCCTGGACTCTCCTCAAGTTTGGGATGGGGGTCCTTGCCTGGGCCACATGGCACACGATCACACCACCACTGAGTGGGTGCGTCCTTTACCCAGGTGCTCTGCCGAAAGACTCACCTGCATTAACTCATTTAATAAACTCAACACTCTGCGATGTCAACACTCGGAGGACACAGGCCGGGCAAGACCAAGGGACTCCCAACACCATAGATGTGGTATTGAGCTGCTGAGCCAGGAGAATGTCCCCTCTAAGGGATTAGGGACTTTTCATCTACTTTTCTTACCACTATATTCTCAGTCCCTAAAATAAATGCTTGGCACATACTTAGTAAGTCCTCAAATGTTGGGCAAAATAACAGAACAAGCCAATCACTGAGATTCCAGCCCAGCTCCCTGGGACTCCACAGCCTTTTCTCTTTCTGTCCACACTGTGGGTCCCTCTATCCCTCAAAGTTCAGAACTGTGGGATTGCAGGGATGCTGGCTGTCTGATTAGCCTTTGCTTTTCCACACCAGCACACCTGATTCTGGCAGAGGCCCCAGGGAAGATGTTACAGCTACTTTCAGCAGAGAACATGTCAAAATCCATCTAACCATGGATGAGCAAATGTGGAGTGGTACTGACACCTGGCTTTTGCCGTGGACTAATGCTTTAGTGGTGGTTTCTCCCTGGTGCCTAGGGGTTGAATGGTGGCAATGATGAACACTATCACTTATTGCACTGAGCTTACTGATTCCTCACCATGACCCTTTGTGTGAGGGTTCTCCTTACTCTTATGTTAGAAGTGAGGCTTGCAGAGGTTAAGGGATTTACCCAGCACAGGCGGTGGTGGACAGAGAAATGGGATCAAGATCTGATGGCCTGTCTCTCTCCTCTCCTCTCCTCCTCCCTCCCCTTTCCTCCCCTCTCCTCCGTCTCTCCCCTCCCCTCCCCTCTGTCTCCCAATTCTCTTGGCAGAAATAACGCTTTCCAGGTAAAAGCTAAATTCAAAGGTTTGCTTCCTAGGCAGGAACTCATCCCTATTTTCCCAGGGCTCAGGGTTCTCCTTCTGTACCCCAGAGAGAAGATGAGCTCAAACACACACGAGGAAAAGGACAGAATGCTTCCAAAATCAGCGCTCCAGCAGACAGCACTTCCTAGAACTTCAGCTGAGTTTTATTCAAGAGGAGGGCTCTCCACTCACTCAGGATCCTAATCTCCAAGCTGCAGTCTGTCTACAGCTGCTCAGGGATCCTACGCATTCCCCGCAAGGCTCTTTCTTGGAGTCAGTGAGGAGTGTTTTGGGAAATCTGGCACCAAACTCCGATCACCTGGTGATGTATGGTTTGGTTGTGCTCCACCCAAATCTCATCTTGAACTGCAGTTCCCAGAATCCCCTTAGGAGGGACTGGGAGGGACCTGGTGGGAGGTAATGGAATCATGAGGAAAGTTTCCTCCATGCTGCCTTCATGATAGTGAGTGACTTCTTGTGAGATCTGATGGTTTTATAATGGGCTTTCCCCCACCCCCTTGCTCTGCACTTCTCCTTGCTGCTGCCATGTGAGGAAGGACATGTTTGCGTCCCCTTCTGCCATGATTGTAAGTTTCCTGAGGCCTCCCCAGCCCTGGGGAACTGTGAGTCAATTAAACCTCTTTCCTTTATAAATTACAGTCTCTGGTATGTCCTTATAACAGTGTGAGAACGGACTAATACATCTTGGGACACCTGGCCAGGCATTCATAATGACACTGGCCCACTTAAAATCTGTTTTCAGGAATGGGTCTGGGCAGAGTTCCAGAACTCTGTTACCTCACGTGTAGTTTCCCATTTCTCTCCACTGTCAACATCTCAGCCTCTCCAGCTACCCTCTCTTCTGTTCTTTGGTTTCAGAAGCTGAGTCACTGTGCCCTGGCCCTGGGCTGACTTCTCCATCCATCATGTCCCTCCCCATCCTCAGGGCTGTCTTGCCTCACTCATTCCCATGACCTTTTCCTATGGGTTTAATAAGTACTCATTGAATGAATGGGCTGAAGGTGAGAGCGGGCAAACTGCAATGCGTTTTACTCCAGCCTTCTGGAACACAAATGTAGACATTATTGGTTGTGGTGGAGGAATCCACCTTCAAGCTAGGACATTCGCTGGGTGGGGTTCTAAGGTAAGGGTGCCTCATGCCAACTAGCTGCACAGGTGCTAATGGAAGTAAGCGTGTCTCCTGCCTCAAGGGCAACGATTCTGCAGTGGCCAGGCCAAAACCCACTCAGCATCTTTTGGAGATTGTGGGTAAATCTCCCTCCCTCTCTTGGCCCATTGTTGTGGGTGGGGCTAAACAACAAATCACATTCACTGGCCATAGTGATTGGCCAGGGGTGAGGCATGCGATCCAATCAGAGCCAAGGAGACGAGGCTTGACGCCAGAATTTCTAGCCACAGAGACCTGGGGACTTGAGAATGTAGACAGCACCAAGAGATGCAGCCCAGACATGGAGAGAGGGAAGCTGGTTTTCTTTTCTCCATTTTTTTTTGAAAAAAAGTCTCACTCTGTCATTCAGGCTGGAGTGCAGTGGCACAATCACAGCTCACTACAGCCTAACCTTCCGGGCTCAGGTGATCCTCCTGCCTCAGCCTCTCAAGTATCTTGGACTACAGACGCAGGCCACGAGGCCCAGCTAAATTTTGTATTTTTTGTAGACACGGCGTTTCACCATGTTTTTCAGGCTAGTCACAAACTCCTGGGCTGAAGTGATCCTCCTGCCTCAGCCTCCCAAAGTGCTGGGATTACAGGCATGAGCCCCAACACCTGGTCTGTTTTTGTTTAACTGTAAAAAAATACATAACAAAATTCTCCATCTTAACCATTTTAGGTGTACAGTTCAGTACTTTTAAGCATAGTCTAACTGCTGTGAAACAGATTTCCAGATCTTTTTCATCTTGCAAAAGTGAAAATACATCCTCATTAAATAACTCTCCCTTCCCCTCTCTTCAGAGCCCCTGGTACCCACCATTCCCCTTCTATCTCTACGAATTTAAATACTCTCTGTCCCTCATATAAGTGGACTCATACAACATTTGTCCTTTTGTGACTGGTTCATCTCACTTAGCACAATGTCCTAAGGATTCATCCATGTTGTAGCATGTGCAGAATGTCCTTTCTTTTCATGGCTGAATAATATTCCACTGCATGACATCACATTTTATTTATCCATTCATCTGTCCATGGACACTTGGGCTGCATCCACCTCTTGGCTACTGTGCATAATGAACAACTAGAGAAGCAGGTTTTGAGCCCTGGCTTGTGTTGCACTCTGCACTAACTGCTCCGTACTGTGCGGCTAGTTTGAGCTGGTTTTGTCACTTGAAGCCCCCACGGTGCTAATGAGACGGTCACTAAAGGGGCCAGTGCATGATGTGTAAATGTAGCAAAGACTGCAATCAGCTCTTTCAGGTAAAAAAAAAAAAAAGTTTGTTTGTTTGTTTGTTTATTGAGATGGAGTTTCGCTCTTGTCACCCAGGCTGGAGTGCAGTGGTGTGATCTTGGCTCACTGCAACCTCTGCCTCCTGGGTTCCAGCGATTCTCCTGCCTCAGCCTCCCAAGTAGCTGGCATTATAGGCGTGCGCCACCACGCCCGGCTAATTTTTTTGTATTTTTAGTAGATACAGGCTTTCACCATGTTGGCCAGGCTGGTCTTCAACTCCTGACCTCAGATGATCCACCCACATTGGCCTCCCAAAGTGCTGGGATTGCAGGCATGAGCCACCGCACCCGGCCTTGTTTATTTGTTTTTTGAAAGCATGTTGATTTAAGGTGGCTTTAGTTGGAAGGTTAATGTCGGTCTTCTCTACTTAACAGGCCTACTCTATTATAAGCAAGGTCAAGGTTTTCTCAGAAATTGCTGCTGGTAACTACAAGGAAACAGTGAGGGGATAAACAAACCAAACAAAAAGACTCCTGAAAAACTGGCTCCTGGCCGAGCTTGCATTGGAATGTACATGAAGCTTGGGGTCAAGGTCAGTGATCAACAAGTCTGGTTTAGAAATATTAGTTTAAACATACTTGCTAGTGCCTTCTTTCTTTCATTCTCTTTCTTTCTTTCCTCCTCTTTCTTTCCCTCTGACCATATGGTATATGGCATGGTGGTTTTTTCTGTTTATTTTTGAGGCAGCGTGTGCTCTTCCTGATCTCTCCCACGCTGTCTAAAATAGCAGGTTGCAAACCACCTGGACCACACCCATGGCTGAATTCCTATCAGCTTGAACAAACACCCAGCCAATAATGTACTTGAGAACTCCAAATCCATTGTTTCTGGATGATCTCCTTGTTTCTTGTGTTATCACACTAACATCTGCTTCTGACCCTGCCAAGGCTTCAGGGTGAGAAGGACGCCCTAAAACACCAAGAGAGTTTGTCCAGAGTCCCACAGGACCCAAGCATTCTTCCAGAAAGCCCTGGACGCTGTGGACAAGGCGGGGAAGTAGACCTTGCCCTTGGAACGTCTGTCATGTTCTTTCCTGTCTGCAATTCTTATCACTTGGCTTTGAACCACCAAGGAGAGAAGTCTCCAGGTGCTACGCTGTACTGTGCCCTT